TGGCAGGGCGTATACCGTAAAGTAGATGAATCTCGCGGCGGTTAACGCGGGACTAGAGAGCAATGGGAATCTGTCTTTTGTGTTCGTCAGACTATTACAATTTGTCTGGCAGTACACACAAGAACGGGAAGATCTATAATATACCGGTGGTAACTCGTCTTTCGCGCTCGAATCGCGGCTTCTTTCCCCGCGACTCGTTCCCGCGTGCTCATTTCTAACATCTATACGTCTAGCTCGATTTGCGAACAAAAGGTAGGCCACAGTTGCGAACAATAAGAGAATCTTAGCGCGTTCCGGTATTAAGATTTGACTTCACGCCTCGTGAGGTTTAATCTGCGCCGGCAGATATCTCTCTCTCTCTCTATCTCTTTCTCTCTTTCTCTGCCTCTTTCTCTTCCCGCATATCGGCGAAACCATCGCCAATTTCAACTCGGGAGAAAATTTATGGAAACTCTAATGAATATCAAGTTTTTTTGTAATTTATTTATTTACATTTACATATTAAATGTGCTAATATTTTTCTATTTCCATCTTTGCATTCCAAGATGAGAAATTTTGGAAAGATATCTTATACAATCTTCTATTAAGAAAATTTTAAAAAAGATTATTGTATATTCTTGCTCAATAAGATTTGTCTGTAAATTTTAAGATTACGTGCAATCTGTTTCGATAATATCGGAAACGTACGCGTCTGATGCCGATCACGAATACTCTGTCGTTATAATAAAATATGCGAAAACCGAGAGCAAAAAACGATTTTGTATCGTTTTTATTTCCGCAAGATGCAATATCGAGTTATCTGCTCACCAGAACATGTGAATTTGAAGAAAAATTGCTAAGATGACGCGTACAGATATACGGCGATTGACAAGGAGAGAATTGCATTCGCGAGAAAATAGAGCGATGATAGAGGAAAGAGAAACTTTTTCCAGTGGCAAATACGATCGATTCTTCGACAAACAGTACAATCTACATACTATTTATTTATGTTTTGCATTTCGCACATTTTAAAAGAAAATTCGAAAAAAGAACGACTGACTTAAATCATAGCAAAATACATGCAAAACGATGCATCTTATTAGCTATTACATTATCCTGATATGTTTAATGTATGAAGACGTTATTTTAATTTCTAATTTTACGGTAGTAAGTTAAATCTGGGACATCGCATCTCAAATACATATTTTATAAAATATTATTGAAATAGTTGATTCTCTGTCCAGTATTATTAATTACATTTCTTTTATATTACTTGTGTTATTATTTGAATTTAGTTAAATCCAAGATTTTAGGTATTTCCGATGTGAACTGAATTGACAATAAATACTCTGCAGGACAGATATAATTATACTAATAAATTGATTCCAGAGAAAGAATCAATTTATTGCAATATATTTCATGAAATTGTCAAAGTAAGATTATCATGGTATCTTAACGCAAATTAAGTTTGTCATTGGAAATAGAGTTCATTAAATTTTCAACCACGGCTCATCCGTAAATTAGGTGTTTATAGCCATATGTTGTATATAGGAGTGCTCAGATATTACGTTATGTAAACAATAGTATCGGCTGCATAAAATAAAATGTGCGACGGATGCCGTCAACGTCCCCATAAATATCAGTTCGTCGCGGTCGAATCGGTATCTGAAATTCACTTCGATGCATAAAGTTTCGCGCTCGAATCTCCAACGGCGGATATATTTTACTTCTACTTTATTCTTCAATGGAACTTTCTCACTCGCAGAAAAGCGTGTTTACATCTCTCTTTCTCCTCCCCTTTTCTCTCTTTCTCATGTACGAGAAGAGGAAAACGCCATTTGAATCTTTACGCTGTTCGACAGGTCGCTTGGACTATTTCCCGTAATTATTCGGGAGAAGGGACGTTTTCCTTCGGCCACGACGTAAATTCGTTTTTCTAATCACGCGGAAGTTAGGAATTTAATCCGAATTAATCGAGCGAGATGGAAGCAGGCGTGTCGAAGAACTTTTACGACTTGCGCATATCCTAGTTTTGCACAGCTTGAAAGGGATAGTTACGGTTTTAGGAATGTGACTCATCATAGCAAGTAATATCCTCACAGCAGGTAATTCCTTGATTCTCCTGAATTTCCTGATTCTCTCGTTGTCTCTCGCGATCCTCCTTTCGCTTCGTGCGGTTCTATAACTTGCAGTATTTCGTCACATGTATTACGCACGACATGATTGATACGCAACTCGCACAATAGTTCCTATTTGCAGATCGATAGAATGCCTCTAACCAACGCTGATACGGTGCTTATGGATGGTATTTACGGTACTTAGTAACAAATTACAATTTTAATCAAACTGAATAATTAATGAAGTACATATCTAATAAATAAAAATGGATTAATTCATACACATACACACACACACGCGCATCATCATAATATATATTAGCACTATATGAACGATTACGTAATATCTTAATTTAATTTATGATAATTTAATTATATTCATCACATTATTATATTTTTTCTTAAAAAAAAATTTTTTTCTTTTGTGCTTATACGTAACATCTCGTACGCCATGGAATATTAATATGATATTAATATGAATTGAAAGCATTTTGCATTTTAAACAATGATTGTTACGAGCAAATATTCTTATAAATGATATTACTATTAATATTGTATTTTGTAATGGATAATATAATATCCAATAGATGTTCGTGTACATCATCGATATTATGTGCTGTTTTGATATATTGCTAATAAAAGCTTTTATAACCATGTCATGGTATAACACGTACGCGTTTATGGTCAATGTCTCTTTTCGAAGGAGTATACTCTGCACTGCAGTTTGCGAAGTTCCATTATCCTCCGGCCTTGTACTACCTTCGAATTTAGCAGCAGTTTCGTGCACACGTGGAACTGCATTTATGGCTCACTGAATTCTGCAGACGCGACGTCGGTCAGAAAGCATTTCGGATATTCAAAAATTTCAATAATTTGAAAGCTGAAGACTTTCAAAAGTGGTTAGGATAATATAAAAATAATTTAAAAATAAAAAGTAAGGAATATATGAATACTAAAAAAAAGATATATACAATTATTATTATTAGTCTTGACACGTAGATTTTGATCTGAAGAATATGTATATTTTTATTTCCATTTTGAAAAATATATAAGTTAGAGATATATAAAATTATAACTATAATATAAATACGCGTATCAATATAATTATTAATTGATCTGCTAATATTATCCATATAAAAGCATTTTATATATACATATGTATATTAGTTTCTAGAAATGTGTCAAATATGGCTTTCGCGATTTTCCGATGACATTTGCAACACGGTTATGCATAGGACTGTATAATATTTTGCTCGTTTGTGGTGCATATGCAATATGGTGGAGTTAGCGACATATGCAAGCACTTAAGTTACGTTACAGCTTGTGTTTCAACATCTACGTAGTGCTTGTGGTCGGATTTATGTATCTCCAATTCATCTAAAGAGATGGATGTCGTATTACGTAATCGGGATAATGCACCGCATCGAGATTGCATAATTTAGTGTTTCACGATTTTCCATTATCACAATTTAAATTTCCTTTAGAATTTTGACTTTAACTAACAGCAAATATCTGTTATGATAACATTGTTTGTGCTGAATAAAAATGATCGCATTTGCATACTTACATAGATAATCAAAAAATTGTCACAAAATAAAAAATTGATTAAAATTTGATTAAAAATTTTTAATGAAATATTATTTTGCTTTGTATTCTTTTAATGATATAATAAGTTTACAATTTTGTACTCACTTAAACGTTATTTTCTACCTGGAGCTTCCACGTGGTTAACTCGCTGAGCTGTGCTTTTGTTGCTATTATTACTGACCATTCTTTCGAGTATCTAATATTTCTACGAATTGTTGTCGCGGACGACCAAGAGTACAACATCCATGGTACTTTAATTACACTTGCAACGGCAAAAATTATAAGTTGAAAAAGTGGATGGTTGAATTTTTCTCTTTCTTCCACCGTACGACTCGATTACATAAAGCGTGTGATGAACATCTGGTTCCAGAATGTCGAACGCGAATGTGTCACGTTATTTATTTTCACTGAATAATTACTATATATTTGAGTAGCGCACGTGATTGCAAGTGTAAATAAAATGCTATTCGTACTGTGCACCGATCGTGATTTCTGTTATTTGAGAGCGTCATTCATTGTCGAGTTATACCGATGCAATTTATTACGACAATGCATGTGCACGCGATATGCAGCCGTCTCTGTCGAATAAATCTGCAAAGGAAGAATGCGACGTAAAAGCATAATTCTTTCCCGGCGTTTTTAAACGGAGCCACACCATCAACAATACCGCGTATGACGGCAGCAAGAAAACGAATCGATAATTCCATCGTTATGCGACGGGCACGTCCTCGATTTCAAAACTGAACTTGTCTTGTATTGAAACGCATTGCAGCTCATGCAAGCGTGATCTTGAATTATTATGCTGCATAAAAAGCAAGAGTGACTGAAAGAGAACTTAGTTAATTTCTTACGCTTTCGCGCGCACAAGCTGTCGAATAACTTATGCATCTCAACATATTTTTACAGGATAGAATATTTTCATTAAAATTAAAAAAGAAATTCTAGATTTATTAATAGTAATTTATTATTGATATTACTTGCAGCGAGATTATAAAGATAATATATCGAGAGGAGAAAGGAGAATAGACAATTTGCAAATTTCTTATGCAGAACAGAAACAATAATTTTTTAGTCGAAGATATATCGCATTATTTTCTAGAATGTGCCAAACGATATCAGAAAGTTTGAGATATATAAAGAGAAATTTTGGAATAATATATTTAGTAACATTATATGTATAAACTTAATTATTATAGGTACGTCAAAGAGATCTTCTTCTTTTTACTGCAAGACTTTGGCCTTTCTTTTAACTCTTCTTTTGCTCTGTCCATCGATCGTTTCCTTTTCTTGAGAGATACAAGTCCAACTTTCTAATGCTTAGGTAATCTCCCTGGTTGTCTTCTTGTTTGAGGTATCTGTGTTTTGACCCATTTGGCAATCCTCCATTTTTCCATTCTGTCCACATAGTCTCTCCATTGTCGTCTCCTTTCCCTGATCCATCTTATTATGTTCTGGATCCCGCATTATTTTCTGATTTGTTTGATTATTCAAAAATCATAGAGATATTCTAGAATAATCAAAAATCTATATTTATTGTTTTTATGATTTGACAGAACATCCAGATTCGTGGCAATTAATTTCCCTTCATTATGATTTCCAACCATTCGCTTCTAGTTTTCCAATATCCATTCTATCGGTCTTTTAAACTTTGAAGAGATTTTCACTTCTACCGCGCATAGGTTTTCGCAAAAATAATTAAATTTATCTGGCCAGCAAAGTATTGACATTTCAATCAATTATGAGAAATATCTTCGTTAAAGCAATGAAATTCTCTGCACTATAATTTATTATTTTTAGAAATTTGCAAATAATTATTGTCGTGGAAAATAATTATTATTTAAATTATTGTAGCGGATAAAAATATAATTTTAAAACAGCTTATGTGATTCGATCGTTAATTTGCAAGAAAGGAATAGTTTCGAAATACAATTTATACGAACAAATATTCTATAATTTAAATGTCACAGCTTGATTATACGTTCGAGTTTTATCAACCTTCAACTTTTATAAATTATAAAGTATGATGTATCTCTTTCCGGATTGCTGGATAGAAATCCAACGTCGAAAGAAAAATACTGAGCAGACTTCTGAGAGCCCCTGAAAACTCCTCTCAGGCATTGTCAATTCTCAGAAGCCTTACGTAAACTTCGAGACTTTTGGCTTAAAGCTTGGCAAGCTTTTCCTTCTGTAGAATTTATGAAAATCGCAAAGAAAGTTACCGCACACTCGTCTCTTCACCTCTTTCGCAAGGTTATTACGAGGAAGAAATGAGGCGCGAGTGTGATCTTTTAGCTTATAGGCCACTTTGAATTTAAATCTGAAATCAACTACATTTGCCGGTCGCATTTTTCCACGAAATAAATATTTTAATTTTCGTTTGCCTAGAAGAGACGTTTTATTATCTCTTATTAGAAGATAAATCGTTAATGAAGTTCTTGCACCATTATTTCTTAATCGAGAATTCTCGCTCTGTTTAATCATTTTATAATCCTCGGTGTGATTATATAATCCTCAATCATATTAGTATGATAATTTAAAAAAACTCAAAATGTGCATATATCCAACAAAAAATTATTTTGCTGATAAAAATGTATGGAATTTATAAAACTTGCGTATTGTACTATTTTTCATTGATGTCATTTCATTGATAAAAAATATGTGATTATTATCGAACATTCCAATATACAGTGTGTATACAATTTGATTACCATAATTAGCATATTTATAAGGGATAATGGAACATTATTATATAGAATAAATTTTTCGTAAAAATTTTAGAGAAATTTATACATGACCTGACATAATTCATAAAACAGTCTAAACAGATATGTTAATGAATATGTTAGTAAAACTAGTAATATTCTAGAACGTACAGAATAATGAATGAAATAAATAACGTGTGACTAATCGAAAAATCCTTTTCTCTCTACCGGGAAAACATAACTAGAACTTCCGACATCTTGATTAAAATTTATCACGGCATTATCTTCGGGCATTTACATATATTAATAAAAAATATATATACGTGTAACGTCCGGTGATCGCTAATGCAAGATAGAATTTCTGTTCTCTCTTCCGGTCGCATGACGTCATAAGGCGGTCCGCACACAGACGCGCAGAGCGGAAGTTAACACACATGTGGCGTTTCCCGTAGACACCCCTCGCAAGAAGCGCCTTAAGAAGCGAGAATTCTCGAGCGAGAATTTTACAGATGGTGGAACAAACGGGCGGTTACGCGAAGATCACGCACACCCATTTCCGGAAATGTTTTGTGAAGATCCAAGACACGAGATGATCTAATGCGGCGCTTCCACCGATCGTGTGCACGCGATTTCAATCTACGCTAGTAATTCATCAATCTGGATATGTTCTGCATTAATGATAGCGATAGTTTAAATTGTCATTTAAAATATTTTATTATTATTATTATTGGCAAGACAGCCCCCCCCCCCCCCCCCCCCCTTAATCCAATGTCTGTTTCAGTTTCCGTTTCCAAATTGTTCTATTCATAGTCACATTTCTTCAGCTGCTGATACTGACAATGGTGACATCCCGTTCTCTCATTGTGTGTGTAAGCGTATATGTGCAAGTGACATCGGTGTCACAGTTGCAAAAACAAGCGCGAATATATGTGCTGTAGAAGGCCATTTAAAGAGAGATAATACAGAGAATTGATATACAGAAATTTAAATCAGATAGAGACGATAACACAATTAGATTTTTTTTTAGATGATACATTAACTGAAACGCGAGATTTATTAATTAAATTAGAATTTTGTCCAAACAGATAACCTTTGCTTTAGTTTGCGCATCGCAGTTACTTGAAATTATTATAAGTAATACTACACACACTAATTTAATTAAATGCTATATAACTGTATATATAATTTTAATTTTGTATTATAATAACATTCGGTATTTTACTATAATTTTTAATCAGCAAATTAGTCGCGGCATACTTTCATCGACATAACTGCTTCGTTAACTGCAAATATGAAAAATCGCTCTGATAGTTCTCGAGAGTTTGCGAACATCGAAATACCTATAATGACCCGCGTAAAGCGAAAATGGACTACTCTTTTGGCAACTCACTAAACTCGGCGAGTGGAAAATAATTATAGCCAAAGTCAGTGAAGAGTTAATTGCCTGAGAGAGAGAGAGAAAGAGAGAGAAAGAGTAGAAAAAAAGAGAAAGAACAACCGTATAATTTTCGACGGTAGAACGAAGGCGCTCGTGTACCGGGAGATACCGGTCTCCCCTGTGACGGGCTTTTAGCCAAAGAGATTAGCGTCGCATCGTTGCCCCATTGCGAAAATGCACCCGGTACAGTTGCAACGGATGCTGCCGACGTTGCAATCTCTTTACCTTCATCTCGTGTATCCGCAATCTTTATCATCTTCTGCTCGTATTTTCGCGCACATTGGATTACGTGAGATTACCGACCATCGCCATCTCGAATCAAAAGGTCTTCGTTTTATTACTCTCTCTAAGCAACTAATTCAAATTTATATTTGACATCTGTACGTAATCTAATCAAGTTCTTTATATCAAAAATATTACAAATAATTTAATTAGTATTAATTTTGGTAAATAAATATAATTGATAAAAAACATATTTTGACGGATTGAAATAACATTTTCGCAAAAAGAATTATTGTTGAAGCGTTTAAATATTTTTGACTGAAATATGCAATTCAGATAGAAAATAATAAATATATGATAAAATTATTCACGAACAACGAAAGATGAATGGAAAAACATCAGAGAATCTAGAATAATTGAATAATAAGCTTAATGGCAAATTAAATAATACTATCCGTAAAATTTTCCTGTGAGTTAACTTACCGGAACATTTAATTTCTACCATAGAAATGTTATATTATATTGAGAGCTTTAATATTTTCGTCACGTTTGCCAATGTAATAATTTTCTCGTTATCGGATGATCGGGTTTGAAAAAAATTTCATTCAACGCGTGCGCGGAGATAATCGTTTTATTCCGAATGAAAAGGTATATCATCTGCGTTGTTGGCCTTGGTTCAAAACGTTCGAAACTACGCATGGCAAAGCGAGTGTCTGAATATTGACGGACTTGTTGCTAGACGCGAAACAGCGTCATGTTTGACGTTGGCAAAAGAACAATTGGCTAGTGGCATCGCAAGTAATAAATCGCGTTCTCTTTATATTGTTATCTGTATATATAACTGTCGAACACATACACATACAATAAAATATTTTTGTACATGTTGATGCGTTCTCCGTTAAACCCAAGATCAATATTAATCACCTTCGTTACATCGGCAATATATCACTCGACGATTATCAAAGATAATGCTAGTAGAAACGGAATCAGGGAAAAATTCGCCGCTTCCTTTCATATGTTTATGTTACAACCACATCAAAGAGTCTTCCGCATGATAAGGAGACCTTAACGAGCATCTCCATTGTTCGCTCTGGCGCCCTTTGATCAATTAAACTGCAAAAGCATCTTTATGCATCGCCGCGTATACACGATGTTTGTCATATGTATACAAGAACGCCGTAGAACATTCTGCGTTTGTTGTGTTACTTGCTGAATTTATATACAACATTATATTTAAATATGTAATAAAAAAAATCAGGCGAGGAGAACCAAGTGATGATTCAAAAGGCGGTCGTAAAAAAATGGATAACAATAATATAATTAAAAATAACGATACAAAAATAAAGACCGCACGTTTCTCTCCCCAAGTGCTCTTATTCTTTTTCTTATCTGGACCAAATATTAAGTTAATAAATGATAATTAACGCGCAAGGTCAAATCGCTAGATCAGCGAGAAAGGCGAATATAATTGTTACGAGAGGATATTGGTTGCCTTCCGTCACACGATTCGTTAGCTCGCTCGGTCCAAGTTTTCGTATCGTTAGGCCTACCGAATTATCTGCCTTTGCTCCGAAGTTCTTTTGCTCTTCGTATATTTTTTGATCTTTTTTCTGTCAGTCACATTGGTATCAGAACTTTCTCCGAAATCCCGGAAATTTATTATTTCTTCTCGCATCTTTGCTCCATGAAACAAGGCCAGCCACCGGAGGATAAATTCGTAGAATTTGCGGATGAATTCGTAGAATGGCCTTCTACTTTGGCCGATATCTCGCTGGCAGAAGCACGTGTTTATCGCGCTTTATATAATCAAAATCTTCGAACATCTATTGTTCCGAGACGAGTTCTCGTTATTGAAGTGAATGTAGTCGATATGTGTTGACGTCTCTTTCTAGGACGAGACGCCAAGTCGAAGTGATTTCAAATAATGTAAAATAATCGCATGCCTGCAGTAATATGTAACATTTTTATATATGATATATAATGTATATATGATTCAAAGAGATAAAAACTTTGATTTGAATCTATTTCAAATATTATTTTATCTCGAGTATTGTTAGAATGTAATTTTTCACTCTCTTTATATATTTAAACTTATATTTTTCTAGTTTTAATGTATGTGTGTGTAAAAATTTATTAAAATGTCTTTATACTAGTGATGAGGTATATTACATTAAAAACTTGTTCGCGCGACGAGAACAACGTAACGAGTTTCTCAGAGTCCTCAGTTGTAGCCGACCCTTTAATAAGGGAAACGATGAAGTTCGATGAAATCCATAGACAAGACTAAGCTCTGTTGTATCAAAGTTCAATTACGCTTGATGCAAAAGTTATCTTAAATATCATGGAATTATATTATCATTGTCGAGTTTTCTCGTTTAATTTTCTTAGATTACGTTTTTGACGAAAGAAATATAAAAGATGTTATACTTTTATGCGCTTTCCACAAAATATCTTTATAAGCTAAAATATAAATTCATTGACTTGTCGTCTTTCGAAACATCTTTATATTATTTGCAACTCTAGTAGAACAATTATTTTATCATACTAAAAAATGTATAGTATAAATAAAATTTTGAGATATACTACAGATAAATAAACAAGATAACATTTATTCAAATAAAAGGAAAAAGTTCTTCCACATTTTAAAAATAAATATTTCTTGTTTCTCGTGTATGCAGTTCTTTTGTCTTAATTTTTCATCATCATCATCGTCATCATTATCAATCAGCTCATTGAGTCCACTGCTAGACATAGAGCATTCCTAAATTTTACCATTTCACTTTGTTTTTTGCTGTCTGCATTCAGTTGTTTGAATACGCTTTAAATCATCTGTCCACCTTGTTAGAGGTCATCCCCTACGTCTGACAGCTTTATGCCTAAGCCTCTATTTTAGTATTTTTCTAGTTCACCTTCCATCAGTCATTTTAGCAACGTGGCCTGCCCAAGTCCATTTTAAGGTAGTAATCTTTTTGGCTGCGTTCTGGAGACGCCAGTTCTTTGTCTCACAATTTTATTTAATATTTTATCTCTGAGAAATAATTCAAGCGTTGCCTTTCCATTGCCCGCTGGCTGACTTGTATCTTGGTGATTTATTTTCTAATCAATGTTTCTGCACAATAGGTTAAAACAGGGAGCATGAACATTGATTATATATCTTCCGCTTGAGACACATATGACGCTTGAGCATATCTGATTTAAAAATATCTGTCAGGTTAATTCTCCATAGATTTATTTAATTTAATATTTATGCTCACTGCTCTTAATGAAAATTTTAAAAATTATTTCTAAAAATATAAAAGAGTCAGAAAAATAAAATAAAAGTTAGAGAAGTAAAATTTGATATCTCTACTATATCACTCTTGTTGAAAAGAGTATTTTTTTTAAATAGATTATTCTATTTCCATAGAGAATTAAGGAGAAAAAATTGCTCGTTGCACAGAAGCTTCGAAAAAAAAAAATTTTTTTTTTTTTCAACCTCGATATAGTTATATCCCATTGTACGGGTGCACTGTGAAAAATTGAAATGCCGCGTGGAGCTGTTACGCGATATTGGTTTCTCGTACCGAAATTTAATGCGTGCTCGACCTGAATGGACGGTTCTGTGGTGAAATAAGACAGATTGGGGACAACTGTTTCCAGACAATTACATTTGTCCTCGCGGAATATTAAACTATACTCGAACAAAGTGGCATTTGGAATGAAACATCTGCTATTCGAATAATAGAGCCTACAGCGAGGGGAAAATAATGGCGGGAAGAATAACGCGGAAAACATTCGCGTTCATCCGCCTGCCAGGCTATCAAATGTATAGATCGCACCGCAAATTACGTCAAATGAGTTGTTCCTAAACACCGTGGGCATTCGCACGTGACAATTAACGCAAACGATCGCTTGTATCGCTACTTTCCGCTCCACTACGCTTGCCATTACATAAATACCGCATATATCTCTTGTACAATGTATGTTTGTATGTTATACTCTCTTATTTATTATAGTCTCCACGAAAAATAGTATTATATATATTTCATATGTTTTATTTTACTGTACAAAGGATATATGGTTATAATGGGAATTGCTCGAATAACGTATCATCTAACTTGATAAGATAATAACATTCGCGTTATGCTCAGATAATAAATATTTTATAAATACGGCGAAATACGAGTCGCGTCGTTTAAATATGAGCAGATACTGAAAGCGGGCGTTGCTTTCATAGTGAAACTTTTCACATTAACAAGAGGCACAAGGGCGATATCAGGCACACGTACTACCGGGCGGAAAGATTGTTATGTACATCGCAGGCAATGTAAATTAAAGTTCTCAGGTATCTCTTGTAATTACTGTTTTGTCAGAGTTTTAGTATTTGCCAAGTGGTATTTCTCTCTGAAGCTTTCCTCGCGAGTTCTATGCCTTTCTCCTTTTTTTTTTAATTTTAACTTTGAAATCTATTTTTTATGGAATTTCTCACGCTTCAATATATTATCGAGCTCTTAAGAAAAATTGGCGATAAAAGTTATAAAATATTATAACTTGTAATTTATAGCATAACGTATAAAATATTAATTATATGAATATTATTGGAATCGATTATATTCGAGATTGTATTGTCGTGAATTATTATATTTGCATCGATAATAGTATTATTATTCAAATAAAATTATCAGTTGTCAGTTAGTGATAATAATTGACAATAAATCAATGATTATACATGATGAAATTATAATAATTTATTTAAAAAATATAAATTGTTTCTGGATAACTAATTATACATATATAATTAACGCGCGATTAATAAAAATCGTTGAAATTTTTTATATTTTATCTCACCTTGCAGATTTTTGTCCTTTTTCTTACGCCGATGCCTCTTTCTTTGTATTTCCTCGACGTAATTTGAAGATGAAGAATCCTCGTGGCCCGGAAATTCGCGGGCTTCATTCACCGATTTCCTCATCTCCTCCTGCCTTTTCTTCAGCAATTCGTAAACTCTCTTGAAGTAGTCCTTGGTGATATCCTCGTTCGATTTGTTCGCTAGCGAACCTTCGCCGTTCAGATAGCCGAAATCACTGTCGGAGCCGTTGCCGTCATTTATTTTCATGTCAGAACCGTTCACGTGTTCCTTCAGTTCCTCGCTTCCGTCGACGATCTTGAAGGTGTCGCTTTTCTTCACATTCGAGCGTGGATATAACTCTCGATAATTCTTGAAGGCACTTTTCGAAGGATTCGTGTTATGCTCATAGTTCGGAGAATTGATGTTCAATGCAGACACGCTGCCGATATTATTGTCGCAATTTTTCACTTGAATTTCTGCGATAATCGGTGATTGGGAGCCGTCCGCGTTCTCCTTCTCGAAGAGCAAATAATTCTCCTGCAAACTGGTACCGAGCCTGCTGCTGTTTGTCGAAGTCTCGTCGAGAAATTTCGCTGTTTTTTTCTCCGTCAACAATTCTTCGCTCTCTTCACGAGATTTCTCGTGAAGTGGATTAACGCAGTTTCTCAAGTTTTGGCAAATCTTGCAGTTGCGCGAGGAGCAGAGATCGCGTTGCAGGTCCTTCCATCTCGGTTTACTCATGAAGTCCTCCTCGGGTAATTCTCTCTCCGATTCTCGGCGATATCTCTCGCTTTTTTTCCGCTCTTTATATTCCCGCCAAGATCTCTCCACATTTTCCTGGCTCTTTATACGTCTCAGGGAATTTGCGAGATTCTCAACGCTGACCACCGGCATCGCCTCCGTCTCCTCTTGCCCCTGCAAAATGTCGCTCTTGGTTTTACAGTAGAATTTCCTTCGTTCCAAACTCGACGATTCCCTTTTGACTTGCGATTTTGGTCGATTGTTCAGTTCCAAAGCTTCGACCAAGACCTCGCTCCTTGATCGCCGATAATTACGCGGTTTTCTTTGAAGCTGGGAATCTTCCGACCATTCTCTGCAATTTGTCGATTTCTCCCTTTCTATTTGCTTATTCAACTTCAACTTCTCTTTTTCGAGGATTTCGGGATCAAATCGCAGGATGCTTGTCTCACTGCGCACCTTTCGCGTTCTGTAGTTTTTTCGATCGTTCTCGTAATTATAGTCCGAGTATCTTTTTCTGATTCTGACGTTCTCGACGGTTTCCGGAATGTCGACATTAACGGCTGATCTCGAACGCGCCTGTTCCATATTCATTCGCCGCTGTATCTTTTCGCGTAAGAACGTTCTAATCTTTGTCAGCTCCTCCTCGTTCATGTCGTCTTTTATCTTGCAAATGGCTCTATCCCCTTCGTTCGGTTTGAAATTATTTTTCGCCGAATTCTCCGTCGGAATTACGGTGCTCCGAGTTCGCAGATACGGTTTCACCTTTCTGTTTTCTCCATTCGGATTCTTCTCTTCAGAGTTGAGTGTGTCGCTTTTGTTCGAGCTACGACTTCCGGGACTCTTCTCGCTCGATCCGATTCTAGTATCTTTCGTCTCATATCCGTCGTATTCTTCCTCGCGAACCAAGCTCAATAGGGTCTCGCTCTGACTTCTTAGATACGCTTTAACTTTTTTACACCTGTCCTTGGCTATCTCCTCCGGAGTTCTCCCGATCGTATTACGCGTACGTAGATCGTTCATGATCTGCTGTCGAAGGTAATCTCCGGCGGAGTATTTTTTGTTTCCTGCCGCTACACCTTCTACGTTTCTTTCGATCTTCGTCTTCATCGTTGGGTCTTCTAAGGCGGACAAGTGCCTCTTTTTGCTTCGTCTTTCTTTAATGTCTACGTCGCTTCGGGATTTTCGCGGGCCGAAGCTGCACGTACCGAATTTAGTGCTGAAGCCGTCGATGTTACGATTAACCTGAAGCGGCGTCGTGACGAGCGAGGCAGTGGAAGACATCGACGTGGTGGAGGACGTTTGCTCTTTGCCTATCGAGTTGGCACACGACTCGTCGACTGGAAATTGTTCGTGGGTTTTTAGGCCCTTCTTGAAGGAACCTCTGGCCCGCTGCGCCGTTCGGCCGGTGGTTTCCACCAGCAACCGGCCATTCTTGTCCAATAGTTGGATGACAGGCAACGCGTCGGCGGACGTCGTGAGCTCCCACTCCCAGTGCAGCGGTTTCTGTAGCTTCAGTCGGATGATCGGCTCCGCCGATTCGCTGCCGGGGCCCGTGGAATCCTGATCGACCGGACTGGAAGTCGTCGCCCTGACGATGGGATGGGCGTTCTTCATGGTCCCGGTTCTTTCTCTCTCCTTCATTCGTTCGTTCTCGCTTGAATAATCTGCCGGAAAAACTTACCGCTTGATTCTCGTCCCGATTAATTCCTCGTTCCAAACGAGTTTGTTGTCTGGAGTTCTTAACGGGTCCTGTCTTCTCTCGATGAATTTTATGGATTTCGTGGAAGATCGGCGGTTGCGTTTCGAAGCTTGTTCACATCACTGTCGCGATAGATTTTTAATTTCTCCACGAAGCAATTTATATCGCGAAATGAAAATTATTCTACATTCTAAACAAGAAACATATAATTAATGCATATTAAATAATTAATAACGTTATATGAGAAGAACGACGAAAATAAGATTTGCATGCTGTAACATCACTCTGTGATCACAAGAAGGATATTAAAGACGCACATCGTACGATCGTCGTTCGAGGTGCAAGATACTGATTTGCGGATGAAGCGACCGGTTGCATGATGCAAAGTCGTTGTCGTTCCACCGTTCACTTGACGATAAGCTCCGAGTTAAAACTGCAGTCCCGTTTTCCGAGCTCCCGCGAATAGCAGCTGCGCACAGTATGCGCTCGCACGTCGTGGCATTAAAATCGTTGCATTTGTTGTCGCGCGATCATATGCTCAACGACGATGAGCGCAGACACTATCGCGAAACGACGACGGGTTACCGATTTGTTTGTGTTGGCGAGCGCGCAATCAAAGTTCGCGCGCGTTACATCGCTTATGTAACGCGACTTCTCGTGGACTTGGCAGTCTATCAAATTCGTGGCGGCGAAGACTTGAGCCCGACTTTCTTTCTTCGTAGGCAAAGGAAAGATGCGCGCATAGTTTCGCGTCACGTCTTATGTCGTGGATAAATTCCCGGAAGAATCATTTTACGCGCGTTCCATCACGCCACGTAATTTGCAGAAACAGATCGCTCCGCTCGCGAAATAAGGCCACACGTGTGCATATACGATGGTGATGTTTACGAACATTTGTATCTGTATTGCTAATTATGCAATAATTAGGCGGCAGTACTTATGTATGTCTTATTGTATGCACCGATGTATATTCAAAGTACGTAACTTACGATCAAATTTTAGCGAAATTTTCTTCTTGTGTTTATTGATAACACGTAAACAGTTTTATTTCACTTTCATTATTTTCAATAATAAAACGCAATGTATTCTACAGCGATCAAATATTTATTTAATCAATGACAAATCGCGAATAGTCATGAAAATCGCAGATCCAATTCTCCAGTTACAAATAGACGCGTGCACACTTTCGACGAATTTCAAATATAGAAGGCTCGAGAGAGGGAGAAAAAAGTAGTTGCTTAATCGAGTGCGTTTAATCGCATGCGAATAACGTTTCATAACTTGCTTAGCCGGATTCGTTGGTTGGTTCGTCTGGAATTCGCGCGATCGATCACAGACTCGCGGTCGTTGCTTCTTGCGCGCGTTCGACACGTTCGAGATAGGGATTTCGACCGTTCGATCGCGATGGATGTATAGATTAATCGCCGCGTGACTCGTGCGAGAGGCAGCCGTGAACCTCACTGAGAAACCGACACAGTGAGAGAAGCGGATCTGGGGCTGTGCGGTGCGGCACTATAAACGCGCGCGGTGGCGTCATACCGTTCCGAAAATAAATCTTGCGGGATCTATCGGGTAGGGTGCAGGAATTCCGCCACGTGGGACGTGTCACGAATACTCGCTTATGTTGTTTTTAGTTATTCGCGCACAGGTGCGCATACAAAGCGTAGATGATGCGTGTGGGCGATTTTAAACGAAATTGTATTCATATTTACTTTGTATCGGGATTATGACTCGAGATTAGTGACAAAGATTGAATTCAGCGTATATGGAGATTGGAGATAGTTGGATTAAGCTTCGAAGGAAATGCCATTTTGCGAAATGTCATATCTTTGCAATTGATCTTTATGTGACAGATTACTTATCAAACGTTTACTTATTAGAGGTTGAAAAGATTTTAAAGCTCTTTTTCGGATTTAGGTATTTTTTTTAAAGATGACTTAATGACAACTTTAATACAGATTTATGTAATAATTTTTGCCTTCTATTCTGTAGAGATAAAACTAATGTTATTATATTCATTATACTACACATATTAAAAACAAATTACGAAACGTATCGTTATTATATCATAGAATAATACTTTTACATAAAAGAAATTTTATTTTTTTTATTCAAAAACAAATAAAATAATTCCTGAGTTTAAGAAAAATGTATCGGTTTGATTTTATGAACCGTGCGATTTAATGAAGTTATAAATACGAGCTATTATAAAGTAGTAGACACAAGACTAATTTTAAATCCACAATTTTAGAAATTAGATATTTATTCAACTTAAGTTTCTTAACATCATGATATTTCAATACATAATATATGTGATTTTAAATGAATTTTAATTGGCTTTAAATTTGTCAAAGAATCCTTAGATAAAGGAAGTTTTAATAATTTTAATATATTATTTTGCTTGCTAAACGCGGTCGATGAAGATGCCTGGCCAGTAGCTGTGATCGATGTATTTCAAGAATGGATCAATGCCCCGCGAGAAATTTGTTTACGATCGAGCGAGAGCAGAATCGACGGACATGTGCATATAGATGCATCATGCATAGTAAACATGTGCAGTATGAAGTGTTATATATACCTATATATAGTTTTATTCATTTTCTACATTTTTTTTACTCATCAAAAACTATTGATCACGTTTATTATAAAATCAGATACTTGACACAAAATTGATTGTGAGAGTTAAAAAGTTATATTAATATTCGAAACGCTAATATTTTTATTTCATCAAAATGGATTTATTTGAAATATATAATTTTAATATATGATTTTAATAAATCATGAAGGAAATATTGCAACCTGTCAGAGAAAAAAAAAGTAAGAAATTGTAAAATAAAGCTTACTTTGTTGACATTGCGATGATCTCGTGAAAAGGCCAACGAATGAAAGAAAAAAGTTGTTATACATCATAAAAAATAATAATTTATTTAGCATTCAGCGCAGAAATATAAACGTACACTGCTAGTAGTTATATCTGTTTGAATAAATGTAAATGAGAATTACATAGCTCAACAAATTGCATCAACGGGTATAGCCAAGCGCAGAACTTGGCGTATACGCATGGGTCTTTCATTTACATATATAAATCTCTCCTAAACATTATAAAATACCTATTAATATATCTTTTAGCCAGAAAACGCATCGAGGGAAAAGAACGATGAAAGTGTTTTAGATTATTCCGTTGCACAATACCGGTTTTTTTTTTTTTTTTTTTTTTATTCTTTTCTATATACTATTTCTAACAAGTCTTCTAACTCTTTTTGCCAGATACATTCGAATGTACAATATATTCTTTGCAGCATATTCTTTGTTCTCTTAATTGTTACGATTCGTCGTTAAGAAAAAATTCTATCGCAAATCGATGTTGGATTCAACTATTGGAAATAATTTAAAGCGCAGTTTCTTTTTCTTTAGAAACTGAATATTGTCAGTATAAATTAATCGTAAAATGATTTCAATAGTTATATTAAAATTAATTGTTATCAACGTTTAACAAAATCTGACGTACATATACGAAAGAGACGATAAAGGGGAACCGTCGCGCCGCGTTTTAAAATTTATTGCTTTCTTTAGACAGAAGCTGCATCTCTTGCGAAATCTGCATTTCGATAGGTCTATCTATGTGTGTCAAGTAACGTTATACAAAACGTATGCACAATCAACAGGGGATACTGCTCACATAGCATTTCACAGAATTAGTTACCGCGCATAATAATACTTACATTTACTGTGTACATATACTTATATATGATAATAATACGCGTAGCAATTGTGTATATGTATATATGCGCATATAATAAGACTAAAATCTTAATAAGCATTTCCAGTATACATATATCTTCCAGTATACAGATGCAGTCGCTTGTGTATGATAAATCATATAATACTTACAATAAGTCAACAGAATCTACTGTTATGTAATTACAGGCGCGTTACGTCTCGTTTATCGCAGAATTGCACGTTTTTTTTTCCAAGCGAATTGCTATATCACGTATCATACTGCATCGTACTTCTGTCGTGACACTGAATCCTTATTGCGTAAAATAGTCAGATAGGAACTCAATGAAGAAGGATTACACGCACATGCGATATGCATTTTATACTACAATATTATTTTACATTTAAAAAGAATTTTTAAAAAAGACGATTAATTTTATGTATCGTAAATAAATGAAATAACAATATCCGTTATTGCAAACAATATTTAATTGCGCGTTTCTCTATATTTCTCTGTAGTTTGCATTTGGATTACGAAATTGCACGTTACTTAAAATCCATTTTCTAGAAATTATAATAATTAAATGATTTAAAAAGAAGTATATAATTTGTCACACGTCAAATCGGTACCAACAAAGAATATTTTTTGCAGCACGTGTTTGTAATATATATTAAATCTAGTCAGAGGTGCAGAGGCTGAAAATATAGTTCTGAGTATAGAGCCTGAGCCAGTCCTAAACGAACATATACGCGCAACATAAACGGTGCAGCAAGTGTATTTCGCCGCTATTCTATCTATGTAAATTAGGACGGTGGGACACGCGCAATTTTCCCGATACGCCGTGTCGTCGAAAAACTCGCAAGGAAGATCTCGACAATAACAGAGCTACAAGCTGCCCTCTCATCTAAAGTATTCACATAAACTAATGACAAAACACGAAGCTTCCAAAAGAAGAATAGATCTACGCAAGGCGGATTTTTACAACTTGCTCTTCCTGCATACAATAGTGGCTTCATTTGTGAATTTTAAAATAACACATGCTCACAGTTTTATCTTGAATATGTTCATATCGCTTAAATAAAATGAAATCCGTTTTTACATATCGTGAAAAAGTCATCAAT